TTAGTAGGTTTGCATGTTAGCCCTCTGGATGTCTTAGTTAATGAAATAATGAAGTTAACACCTGTGGAGAAACTGATAGATCACATCTTGAACTGGTGACTGAGCACCTGGTGAAGGGGTGTGGCTGGCCTAGGGCAAATTTTTTGCCTGCTTTCTGTGTGACCAGAAGAGGTAGATCCATGGTGGAGATATCCTTGGCTCATATAAGAGCCAGACACTGGAAGGAAGGTGTCTTTTGTACCTAGGCTGCTTCCTGTGAGGAAATGCTGCTGTAGCCAGAAAGCTTCTTCACCTGTTGGGTGAGTTCTGTTCTTTCTGCATGTGACTCTTGGCTTACCTATGAATACCTTACCTAGTATTGCCAAGAACCTGTCAGAATGAATTGCTCTTTAGATTGTGACTGCTTTCACAGGTTCAGTTCCTTTGAAATGGTTTAGGATGCTCATGAGTAGCTCAGATAGTAATTTCTTAATATGTATATACTAATAAATATATATAAAATATATATTTGTGTGTGTATGTACATATATATAAATTCTCTTTTAAGAGGATCTGTAACAAGCAGGTAAGGACTATAGTCTTCAGAGTTTTGAGTTTCAGAGTATGAGAGTCTATGGCCTGAATGGAAGCTTGTCTACTTACATCTTAGTGCAGTATTAGTACTATTCAGAACTCAAATTGTTGACGTTAATCTTTTTTCTAGAGATATTAAATATTTCCCTGGATATTTTCCTGTTCAACATACTGTAGGGAGCCTGCTTTGTCAGGGGAGCTGGATGCTGTGACCCCCAGAGACACTTTCTAATTCCTACAATTCTGTAATGTGGTATCAAAAAACACCTGCAGTTTGTGTAAGGGCTGCTAGCATCCTAAATAGCTCTTAGCAGAATTCATCTAACATTAAGGAAACAGGAAATATAGGTGTAGATAATGTCTTTCATGTCAACATGGCTAATGTTTAAGTGACATCATAGAAACTATTTTACTTCCCTTATTTTCAGACTCTGCTGGCTGAAATACTTGTGAGCCTCTAAGTAATGCGTCTTCTCAAGAAAATTGTACTAGATTTTTGCGTTACCCATAAGTTTGTTCGATTTGTTTCTGTCCCTTGTAGTGTAAGCCTTTCACTGTGGTTTTGTATGCTCTTCATGCTCTCTCCTTAGACGTAGCTGGTAACTTTCTCTGGTTTAAGTTCTCTCTGAAGTCAGGAAGTAGAGCAAGGGACTGAGGAATTGGGGATACTGGGAAGTGGATACAAGGTAGCTGGTATGGATGACCGCTGTCTGTGGGTTTTGTTGCAATCTCACTGGTTCTGTGTGCTTCTGTGGTCTTACTGATTAATTGTTCTGGTTTAAGCCAACCATAGGGGACAGCAGGTGATGACGCCTGTATGTATGACTTGCAGCTTGTATTTGTGGAACGCTAACTTTTGTTTTTGTATTGAAGAGAATTATGTTACAGAAGCTGGGTGGGAAGAAGATCTGGATCTTCAGAGTTCTGATGACTCACGAAAAGAATTGCTATCCTGCTTTTAAGTTCCAACCAAAATGACAAAGCTTGAACATTGAAGTACATTTTAATTTAGCAGATGAAGACGTTAACACATAAAGTATTCGCTTAATAGCACAAGTAAAATTTCCTAGTAAACAAAACAAATGTGTATTTTGGGTTTTGTGTACAATGTTTGAATGAGAATCTTGAAAGTCTTCATCAGGAGTCTGTGGTGTTTTCCTCTAAAACCAAAGTGGATTTTGGGTACTAGTATGGCATGCTTTTTTCCTTTTTTTTTTTTTTTTTTTTGGCTGAGATTAAGTACAAACTTAATTTTAGTTTGTGTAAAAGAAATGGAAATTGAGTAGAAGGTAAGTACTGTTCTCCTTTTCAGTGAAAGTAGTGGTCTCCAAACAGCCTGAAATGACACACTTCTAGACTGTTTTGTTGTTGTTGTTCCCTCTGATCTACTACCACAAGGTATTTCCTAGAAGCCATTAAACACTAGATCATTGGTATGTAATGCAGTTTTTTCTTATTTTGCACAGATGAAAGGAAAGATGAAGCTATCAAATTATGAAGGCTCAGCTCCTATGAAAGAAGAGTGTTTCAGTGGTTCATCAAAAACTACTGTGAAAATAAAATATCTTAATACATACAGACTAGAACCGTATAATAAATTTCAGGATCGGTTAGTAAGAGACAAAGCTCAAGCAATATTAATGGTATAGTATTTTTTTATGAACTGTTTTTTTTTTTTTTTTAACAGTAGTTTGTGATTATATAAGCAGAACAGTGGAAGTTGCTTAAATATATGCATAGGTCTTAGCAGGCATTCAGTTCTGGCGCACACATATAAATGTGCTCTGTTCTGCAGGGTGCAGAATGCCTTCTACAAGGTAGCCACAAAGCGCATGCTGTTAGCATGGAGCTGAAGCTCCTTGTACTCCTTTCCACTTCTTAACTGGAGTGAGCTACAGTGCAGTTCAGAGTAGCCTGATTTCCAAAACATCCAGATAGCCAACTTGTGAGACTCTACTTCAATTATTTCTAGTATTATCACATGAATTGCATAAAATATACTTGGTGTCGTCAACATCTGACCACTGCGTATAGAAGTTAAGAAGTAAGAATGGGAACAGTCTGTTAAGTTAAAATGTAGCTGTTAGCGATACCTTAAAAAGCTACAGCCAACTCTTGTAATTCTGAAGATGTGCCTTCAACTGATATTCGTAGCATTCTCTTCCAGTGAGATGGGCCTGGATTTTAGAGATTAATAAATACATCCCTGTTCACTGAATGGAGATAGGTTGGACATGTTTAATTCTTTACTTTCAAAAAAACAGATAAAACATTTTTTAGAGTAAAAGTAGTGCAGCATTTCCTGTTTGAGAGCATCATTTATACTTTATGGTTTGTTTTACTGATTTCTTTTAAAGAAAATACCTGTAAAAATTCTTGCAAAGGACTCCCAGGATGAGAACTAAGATCTTTCAACATTGTTTTTGATAGAATAAACTTCAACAAGCCAAATATGATGCAGATTCTAGTCCATCCTTGTGTGCTTCACTCTCAGAAGAAATATTAAAGGCTACAAAGGAAATGGGCTTTGACCGTTATAAGTACGTGGTAACAGTGCTAATTGTGGAAAAGGCAGGTCAAGCAATAAATGTGAGCAAACAAATTATTTATAATATCTTCTGAGAATTGAAAATAACCTTTAGAACTGTATGTTATCTCCTTGGTATTCTTCTGTATTCAACAAAGTAATGAGAGGTGGGCTTGGAGCTGTCAAGTTCCATACTTGTATTTGGGGTTGGATTTTTTTTAAAACTTAATTTCTTTTTTTTTCTTCTTTTATTGAGGTCAGTAACAGTGGTAAGCAGCCCATGCATCTCTGTCAAACAGATGTTTCCACTCTGCACTATGCCAGTATAACTGTGTGAGGGCAGTAAATATTTCTTTTTCTAGTGAACATTGATTTCCAGTTGGGCCACTGCATGCAAGTGCAAAATGCAGTGCAGTTGTAGTGTGGGGTGATGTGGAAAGGAATAGGTGCCAACAAAAGGAAGGGGAACTGTATTAACTGCAGCTGCTGCCAAATGGATGCTCCTGGGACCACAACTTGACAAGAGTGATCTGAACTTAGTACACCCAAAGCAAAAGAATTTCAGATTGCAATTTTCATGTGTAAATTTGCAGTGCTATAAGCTCACTTTGGCATTCAGTGCTCTTTTTGCTCTCTTCTTGAATGCTAAAGAACACTTGTAGTTAGGAGTGTTGAGCATCACCTCTTAAAACCTTGTCTTTCTAAGTGGAATCATCCCTTGTTTTTAATGTACATTGTGAAACAATATTTGAAGGGATGATGTCTTCAATCTGTGAAAGGCCTTCCTCTACCCACGTTCCTAGTGCTGTGTCACAGTATGCTGCTTCTAAATCTGTGCTGTGTGGGTGTGAAGCTGTAGGATGAGATGGTTTACTCAAATGCTCCAAACACTTTTTTTTTTTCCTTGAAGAATATGCTTATTTCAGCAGTCAAATTTTCACAGTTAAGGTTTGATAAGAATTCTACCAAAAAAAAAAAAAAAGTTGAGAGCTCATAGTAGCTGCAAGTATACTTAAGTAAGCTGCTGCTAGAGGTGGAGGGGAGCAGCTACTACTTAGCTCAATTTGTTGCCAGCACTTGGTGTCTCTTGGCATTATGGTGCAGTATGCTAAAGTGCTGACGAGTGAACATGACAGAGAATTGAGGTTTTGGTGTAAACATGTATGGGTCTGTTGTGGTGGGGTGTTTAATATGAAGGAAGAATATGCATTTTAGTATCAAATAGCACTTGTTTGTTTTCGCTGTCATTGTGCAGTTCTATTTGTAGCTGTTATATGCAATTATATCAGCACTTGTGAAATGCTGTGTGTTCTTGCAAAATATAAAAATAGTGGTATGAATAATTTCAATCATAGCTTTGTCTTTTCTTTCCTTTAGGTTGCCAGTAGATGGGTCTGGGATGTTCAAAGAGACACCTGGATTTCAGCTAAATACGAAACTGAAACATTTATTGCACTGGCTTTGATAATGGCTTGTTATTATGAGTGACACTCCCAAGAAGATACACCTGCTTCTGTGCAGCACAGTACTTGGTATACTTGAAAATTTTCAGAGCATCCACTTACCAACAACATCAGTTCAAAATCTGAGTGCAAAAATAACAAAGTTGATGTGATAGTTGAGATAATTGACCACTTTGCTTTGTAAAAATAACTTCTGAAATGTGTAAGGTTGAGTACATATGGGCTTCATCTGTTGTAGCACTTTAGTGTGGAAGTCAGAGCAACTGGTGGAAAGCTGAACTTCAGCAAATTTTGAATGCTGCTTGTCTGTTGCATGCATTGAGTTATTAATGAATGTTTACAATAAATTGTAGGTAATGGTTCTTTTGAATGTATGCTTTCTTGAAAGAGAAGATAGTGCTGTTGTGTGGTTTTTTGGTTTTTTTTTTTTTTTTTTTTTTTTTTGTAGCTTTATCTATGATAAAATGCCAATTTAGGTAGAAATGGGAAGGGGGAAGCCATCTTTTGCATGCTTAATTTGTGTGAATTTGTTCGTATGTTCCTGGAAGGGACTGAGTTTGGTCGTTAACATCCTTGAGTATTAGCCTTGCGGTAAGTACCGCAGGGCTGAGGCGGGTGGGTAAATGTTGAATTCGGCAAGCAGCTTCTCCAGGTAAGGGCAAGAAGACACCGTGCTTAGGAACATGGCAATTGAGAACGGGCTGTAGAAGGCGAGCACAATGAGAGCTAATAAGGCAGACCTGTGAGGCACACAGAGATCTGCTTTTAGAACTGCGGAACGTGGGAAGGGAGCGCTGATACCATTTCTATTGTTATGAGCTCCGTGTAAACGTTTATGAAAGCTGTAGGTTTTACCCCTGAACGTGCCCGGGGCCGTGCGTACCGGCTGTGCGGGGCGGTGCCCAGGCCGAAGGCTCGGGCAGGAACGCCGGGGCTTCGGTGCCGGCCGCGCGGCAGCTCCCCGCCCGCCGCGGCGGCCCGAGGCGGGGGACTGCGGTCCCCGCGTGGGAGTGGCTTCTCGCTTTGTTCTCCGGTGCGGTGCGGGCGGGGCCGCGCGCGGGCCGAGGCGCGGAGCGGACGGGGGCTCTCCTGCCAGGTACGGCTGCGGGAGCGGCGCCGGGCGCGGCCGGAGGGGGTGCGGGCTGACGGCGGCGCGCTCGCTCCTTCCGCGCAGCGGCGGGGCCGGCTTCAAGCGCCCTCCTCGGGGGGGAGAGCGCTCGCACCGGCTTCCTGCGAGTGCTCCCCCCCGCCCCCCGTACACCCCTCCTGCGCTGGTGGATGGTTCACAAACGTAGCTCGTCCCCGGCTGACGCGCCGGAGACGGAGCAGCCCAGCCCTGCCGGGGCCAGCTCCCGCGCCGGACGGCGGCGGCGGCGGCGCTCGGCGCCCACCACGCCCGGGGGATGCTGCCCCTGCGCGCCGCGCTGCTGCCCAAGCGCTGCCGAGGCGGATCGGCCCCGCGCTCGCGGCTGGGCCGCGCGGCCGCCCGAGCGGCGGCGGCTGCGGCGGCCGGAGGAGGAGGAGGAGGAGGAGGGCGCGGCGGCGGCGGCAGTAGCGGTGGCGGAGCGGCGGCGCCGGGTCCGCGCGGCGTTGCGGGCGGGGCGGGCCGCGTGCCGGTCCGGCGGCGCGGGCCGGGGTCGCCGCGGGCAGCCCGGAGGGGGGCGGAGCAGGAGCTGCGCGAGGCGCCGCGCTCGTGCCCGGGCTGGCCGGTAGGGGCCGTTGCCACCCCCCGCAGGGGGAGGGGGGGCGGAGCCGGGCGCGGCGCGAGGCCGGGGCGCGCGGCGGCGGCGCTTCTCCTCGCCCAGCCGGCGGCGGCCCCCGCGGCGCTGATGGCGGCCGTCCTGTCCCCGCGCCTCTGCGACAGCGACCCCGCCACGCCCGGCAACCAGTCCCTGAAGGTGAGCGCGACGGCGGCCGCGGCGCTCGGGGCCCGGCGGCGGGAGGCCTCGGCCGGCCCCCGCGGGGCGACGCGGTGAGCCCGGGCTCTCCTCGCGGCGGGGCGCGCGCCGGGCGCGGGGGGTGGCGGCGTCCCGCCGCGGCCGCGGGAAGTTGCGGCGCGGGGTCGGGGCTGAGCGCTCGTGCGGCCGCCGTCGCTCGCGTAAGTGCCGCCCGCGCCGGAGCGCCGCGCCCCGCGAAGTTTGGGTCCGGCTGCGAGCGGCCGTGCGGCCGCGGCTCGCTGGGCACTTTCGGAGGAGGTTTGGGTAGTTCCGGCTGCCGGTTACAAAATAAAGCGTCGTGGCGGAGCTCTCGAAGCTGATTGGCGTACGGAGACTTCGCTCTGTAACTTTAAAGAGCCAACCAACGGGGAAGCGTGCGGCCGTGCTGGGCGTGCTTCTGCGAGGCGGGGAAGGCCTCTCTTGGCTGCGCTTTTCTATTGAACTGTCCCTTTTTTAATCGTCGATGCGGTCGGCGGCTGAGCTTTAGAGTACGCTGCGAGCGTTCTCGTTTGTTTGCCGAGTCCTTTGCACCGGCCTGCCTCGTTTCCCTGCGTGTTTTGCGTCCGTCTGGGAGTGAAACTGAAAGCGGAGGAGGAGGCAGAGGCAGCCGTCCCTCCTGCGGCGTGGATGCTCGGGTCGTGTAAACAGGGCGTTCAGAAAGGGAAAAACTTTGCAGCAGAAAGGAGAAACTGGTGCGAGGCCCTTACTGAAAAATATTTTGAAGTATCTTGTCGGCTTTGCTATAGGAAAGCATGACTTTAACACTTATGTTTTAGTCCAGCAGTTCTAAACTCTAGAGTGCATCAGGGCGCTGTGTGGGAGGAAGGAATGAGCTGTGGACGTTCATTAGTTGTAGTGGAGAGCAGTCTCAGTCCCACTTCTGGCTGAGAAAGTAAGGGAATCACACAGTCAGCATACCTGAAAAAATAACAGGGAAACGGTTCATTTTCCCTCACTTATAAATACAATCCAAATGGAAATTTGAGATCCAGGTCAAACTACTCAGACCAAAATTCCTTTGTAATGGGACCATATGAAAACTAAACAACTTTCTGTGCCCAGCAGCAGCTGACCACCAAGTCAAGTCTGCTCAGGGATGACACTAACTTACAATATATATATATATGTATCAACAATTACGTGCTTTGCTTGAAAGCTGTTAAGGCAGCCATCCAAAATATTAGTATTGTTCTTAGCACAAAGTTAGACTCTTGCAGTAACTTTTCCTCTACAGAAAGTGTTTCACGATTAAGATCTGCAAGTTAGCAAAATAGCATTGATAAATTACATACAACCTATGGTTTTCTAATTAATTCTTAATATTGAAAAGATAAGATTACTTCAGCATGTTTAAAGGGGGACTCTAAGCTATTCAGTTCATTTCAAGTACAATAGTAATGGTGATAGATTTAAGATCAGAAATTGAGTTTATCAGATTGCATTTCTATTAATAATGTAAAATGACACAGTAAGCACAGTTAAAAAGTCATGAGTGCTTTTTCCTGAGACTGCATTGTAACTGACTCGTTTCTGTTCAGTTGTTCTCCACCAGCTTGAAATACTTCAGAAAAGCATAATGTGTATTAATACTTTAATTCAGTAAGAATCAGTGAGAATTTTGAACATTGTCTGTTTTTTTTTATCATTTTTTGAACTGACATTTATTATAATAATAATGCTTTCATACTAGTCCATAGTTTGTTTTATTTGAGGTAGTTTTGTTCTTGGATCTACTGTGCTCACCATATGCAACTTGCTTGACTGCTTCTGTCTTCTGTTTCTCACTTGTAATCATGCAAGTTTGATCACTAGATGCTTTGAGATTTGTTGTTAACGAGCACCGAATAGGTAGGAGTCATGTAATGTTACTAGTCAGTAGCTTTAGTGTTTTTCTAAATCCCTCCATAAACAAAAAGCCTTTGCTACTCAATCTTTTCATAAACTGTGTACCAGTTCTTATGCTTGCTATGTAAACTGTCCTGTCGGTTTTGTGTAGACTATTATTAAATAGCTGAGTACTTCAGGTATATCTAAACTTCATATTATCTTAGAATGTTTTTGATGTTTTAAATTACCCACTGAATACTTTAAATTAATTCATATCTATTTTCATTTTTGCTTTAGGATGACACCGAAGAAAATTCCAATGATGGCAGCCAGCCATCCAAAAGACGGCGGATGGGCTCGGGGGACAGTTCTCGGAGCTGTGAGACTTCTAGTCAGGACCTTGGGTAATACTGTCTTTTATTGCTAGTCTTACTGTTTCATTTGATATGCTGAAGCATTGGCTCTTCTCCATTCTTTCGTATTCCTTGTTTAACTTTCTGAATTAAGTAATGCAAATAGCTATTGGTCTTTTTCTCCCAGCATTCTTTGATTTCTTCTGGTGTTGTTCTTATGTTCAGATACAGCTATTTTCCTGCTGAAAACTTGATAGAGTACAAGTGGCCACCAGATGAAACAGGGGAGTACTATATGCTTCAGGAACAAGTTAGTGAATATTTGGGTGTGACTTCCTTTAAAAGAAAATATCCAGGTATTTGGTTTTTTTAAGTCTTTCTTCTAAAGATCTATCGTCTTACATTTTGGATGTAATCTCTGTGTCTTTTCAACTGCAAAACGGTCCATTTAATTAAAAAAGGTCATAGCAAAATTAGAGCTCAGTTTTGTGTGTATGTATGTGTTTGTATGTCAGTTTTGTGTGTATGTATGTGTTTGTATGTACTTTTTGGTTTTGTTACTGGCATTTTGAAAATGTATCCTACAGTTTTCAAAGTAAAGTCTCGCCACAGAAAAATCTATACAAAGGAATGAGTTGAGTGTTAGATCAGCAAGTAGTTTTTGAAAACTGACCTCAGCTTAATTCTGAAGTATTTTGTTGGTGATCTCTTACTGTAAAGTTGGCTTTATCTTTGTATTCCATTTCCTGTATAGTGCAGACTTGTTGCCTGAAAGTAGAATTCTCAAAATGCTTTAACATTGCTTATGGGGGATTAGAGTAACTTTATACACTTCTGTTGCTGTTTTTTCCTTTTGTTTTCTCTGAAGATCTAGAACGACGAGATTTGTCTCACAAGGAGAAACTCTACCTCAGAGAACTAAATGTTATCACAGAGACTCAATGCACGTTAGGTAAGAGGAAAAAAAAGATTCCTTGTTGCAGTATAAAAAATGACACACTGAAAATGTGATTCATTATGGTAGAGAAGCGAATGATTCACCAATGAAAATGTAAATTCTGACACGAAAACCAGTTTATATTTTATTTTTAGTTTGTGTAAATTGGTCAAAGGATATCAATGCTCAATATTGATTATTAAAAATAAATTTCAGTTCTGTTCCAATTACTTAGTAAAACCTATGTTGTAAATTATCTTTTATAGCCTTTTTCTCCTTAACAGAAAAAGAACAGCATGATTTTTTTAAACTGAAAAGTCTGCCTTTCTTGTTCAGCTGAATTAGTAGCGACTCAGCAAACATTTGTGTATTTTATAGAGTTGAGCTTATGTCTTAGATGTCAGAAGGGTGAATATTAAGCCACTTATATGTATGTACAATACAACAGTGTCATGAATGCATTTTATATTGAAGGAACTTCAAGTATTTGTTCTTCCCCTGCCAATATGTGTGACTTGGAGTGTGTTAAAAATTAAAGGATGCCTGTCAGTTTCTTTTTTCCCAGTGTACCCATAAATCTGTGCAGATGTTTCATCACTTTATAAATAAACAGTCCTTGGTACCCTGTCTTTGTTTCTTGCCACTAGCTCTCTTGAAAGTTTTACTTAAATATGCAGTATATAACAATATTTAACTTGTATCAGTAGAAGCAAAATGCTATATTCCATCTCAAGTATACAGTAGAGGCATGTGCTGCGTCAACTGTCCCTGTGATAACATATGCCAAATTCTATCCTGTTGTCAACGGAGATTAGCTGCATTTGAAGCTTTTGAAGAGGTGCTCTGTGTGACTTGCTAGCTGCAAAATGACAAGTTCTGACTTCTGAACTTGAAATTGTTTAATCAGGAGTCAGGCATCTGTGTGCAATTTGCTGCTCTGAATTGACCTCACAGTGGTTCTTTTTTGATTTGTATAGAGAACCTGACCTCATAATTAAATAGTGTAAGGCAGTGAAACTAACCATTCACCAGTAGGAGAAACTGAAGCAAATGTCACCAGGTCCTGCTTTCAGCAAAGGTTCTGCCTCTTAGGGGAGTTTAGTAGGTGACAGTCAGTGTGAAGGTGAAGTTTGGGTTGTGTAGCTAGCTGTAAGCAAGAGAAGAATCTTTCCTCCTTGGCAAGAAGCAAAGCCTTTATCAGCCTTGAAAGCTAAATGTCATGTTTGCTCCTATGTGATAGAGGGTGAGGCATTGTGCACAGTAGGTTATTGTCTTTAGCCGCTCAAAAACTTCAGTTGATGATTGTGAGATATAAATAACCCACAGTTAGTTTTGCCAGATAGCATCATTATTGCTTTTATCTATTTTAGGTCTAACAGCTTTGCGTAGTGATGAAGTAATTGATCTTATGATTAAAGAATACCCTGCCAAACATGCTGAGTATTCTGTTATACTGCAAGAGAAAGAACGTCAGCGAATAACAGATCATTATAAAGAATACTCTGTGAGTAAATAGCATATGTTAAGTGAACCAGATCTGTAACATGGAATATATAAAAAAAACGTTCACAAACTGGTAGTGAAATGTGTGTAAGCTAATAAAGTTGTTTTTGTTTCAGCAAATGCAGCAGCAGAACACACAGAAAGTAGAAGCCAGTAAAGTTCCAGAATATATTAAAAAAGCTGCCAAGAAGGCTGCGGAATTCAACAGCAATTTAAACCGAGAGCGAATGGAAGAAAGAAGAGCCTATTTTGATTTACAGACACATGTAGGCAAATTAAATGTTTTTATTAATGCCAAAAGGTAGCTCCTTGTTTTAGTAAGGGTGTTTCTTAGAACCTTTCTAACAATCTTATCATTCAGGGGGTTGATTAGTCTCAATGCAGAGACATAGGGGCTTTAAACATTTTACACCATGGTTAAAAAGAATAATTTCAAGTACATCTAATATAAAACTTTTTAAAATTCTATCCAAGTAAGCTTTTCCTTTGTTGTCTCTAATCTGCTGGTAACAGCATAAAATTTAGAGGATGTTTAGGTTAAGAAACTTCTGTTGTTATATCTGTTCATGTAAATGGCCAGGTTTTTTTGGAGTGCTTCTAAAGTTCTCTCTAAACAGTATATTTATTTAACAAATAAGCTGTTTGTCTAAAAAAATGCTCTGTATCAATTTTACGCCCTTGTTTTTGTTAGATGTAACATTTTGCTTGTGCAAATTATTTCAGTAAGGTAATATATTATGGAAAGGTAGTATCTTCCTGACAGTGATACATTACAAACGAGATGGTGGATAATTACTTTGACATGTTTCTAAAGAAAGAAGACTTCTATAAGATTCTTTTTCACGTATTTTATTATTAATGGGATTTTTTAGTGGCACAGTCTGATTTTGGCATTAGATGGCACTGTTGTTGCTACCCTCTACCAGTATGGACCCTCAGTAATAATTAACGTCAAAGATGCTTCTCACAAAAGTTCAGGATTACTGCTTCAATTTTTTATTTATATAAAATATTTATTTATTTATATATTTTTTATTTATATAAAATTTACTGCTAGTTTTTTTTTAAATGATTTTACATGCTGTACTATTAGAAGTAGTCTTACCTTTTTCAGTTATCAAGCGCATCCTGATTAGACTTAAATCTGTAATACTGTTTTATGAGTGGGATCTCTTGTCATTTTAATGAATTGAATTGTCCATCAGAGAGCTCAGGTAGCTGTTCTGATTGAGTAAGTGGGATAAACTGGCACATCCAAAAATATTTGCAGGGAATGGTAGGTAAGGAAAGCTCAAAAGTTTACAAAACAAGAACTTTGTTGTTTTATGTTAAACAACAGATTATCCAGGTGCCTCAAGGAAAATACAAAATCTTGCCTACAGAGAGAACAAAGGTTAGTCCTTACCCAGTGGCTCTCATACCCGGCCAGTTCCAGGAGTACTACAAAAGGTATTTTAAAAGCATTGCGACTGCTGTTTCTTTTGCACTGATCTCTACATATGGCTGGTGGAAAACAGTTGAGTATATTTGCAGCAAGGTTTTGAATTACTCTTATGCTTGAGGCACTTGCTAGTCTAATAAATGTGCAGCATGGGGGTTTTTGTCAACATCACGTATGTAATACTTGCTGTGAGAGTGTCCCCTCCTCTAATGTATTGTGGTGCCTGAAATTTGGCCCGCTCAGATAATCTGGTTAGATCTTGACGTTATCCTGTAGTTATTTTTATTTGCAATTTTTTCCCTTCAGTAATCATGAAACTTGATCTGGAATCTACCAACTTATTTTGCTTTGGACCCCAACTTTTTGTGTGCCTTGGGTTGGAACTGATGCCATGTACTTCTATTAAAAAAGTATTGTTGGCATGGATTGATTAAAAATTTGTAGACATTCAAGTGACCTTTTATGATTGCTCAGGTTTGCAACATTGCAAATATACTCTTTCTGTGTTCCATGAATATCTGCCTACACAAAGATGACAAGTACTAAATAGTATAACTTTGGTGGGGATAAATAAGTAAGTTTCCCATCTTTTTATCAGTGCATGTTTATACGTGCTTCCCTGAAAGGGAGGGTTGGAGTTATTTACATTTCTTACTCTTTCTCTCTAATTTTCATGTATATTTTGTGAGTAATATCTATGCATAAAGTGCACAGGCATTCATTTATTTATTTAATAACTTTAGATATTCTCCAGATGAACTTCGTTACTTACCATTAAACACAGCTCTTTACGAACCCCCTTTGGATCCAGAGCTGCCTGCATTAGACAGTGATGGGGATTCAGATGATGCAGAGGAAGGGCGAGGTGATGAGAAACGGAAAACCAAAGGCAATTCGGTGAGACAAATTGAAAGTATTCTTCAACAACAAAAATAATCTTTTCTGTTTGCCTTTTTTAGTTTCAGTAATTTCCTTTTAGAATCTTTTAACATTTGTAAATTGAAGTAGAATTGCAAACTCAAAATTCCTGCCTTTTTAGTACTTCTCTATTTTATAACGTTTCTCTTCAACTTTCCATTTTGCTCTGTTTTTGAAGTAAGTCAAACAAATCTCTGGAATATCAGGCCCTTTTTTTCTTCTTTTTAAATAAGTTTTGAAGAACCTTCCTTCTTACAGCCTTTTCCTCAAGTGACAGGTCTGGCTGCTAGCATTTCTGAGAGGAGTGAATTTCAGTTCAGTTCACAGCATATTTTGCTATTTTAGTTTCATAGAATGTAACCTATCACTAAAGCAAAGACTTACTAGTCTTGTTTACTGTGTTTTCCTGTTAAGTAGAAGCAAGAAGTATTCAATACAGAAACAGTTACTTTATTGCTGCAGCTCAAAGAAAACTTTGAAAGCAGTTTTGTTGTTTTATGATAAATCTTTAATAGGTGCGTATGTTCTCTTTACTTATGCAAACTTCAAATTAACTGTTACTGGAATATAAACAAAAGTTTCACATACCTACCTTGGTATTGTTTGTTGGTACTCAGGAATAGTTGTGCTTCAGATGAGCTGTCCAGGCACAACTAACTCATTGGTATTGGTGTTGTTGGTGTATTAGTGCTGACCATTTTCTAAAAATTGAGCCCTAATTCTAAGAAAAACAGAATTTAAAATCGCAGATGCATTTAACAATTTCTAATTCAACTGACTAAAGTGTTAGATAGTGGGTAATTGATAGAGGGTAAAAAAAAATGTGAAATTTCTCCATATGAATATTCATTGTTAAATATTCACAAAATACTCATAACTAAAGAAGAATGGAAGGGGTCAGCTTGTAGAATTGCAAGTGATAGTGTTATTATGCCCTTTTCGCTTGTATTTTGGGGAAAGAAAAAGTAAACTTAGTACAACTCAAAAATTTGGTTTAATCGTACTCCAGGTTGTGGGGTTTTTTTGTTTGTTTATTTGTTTTATTAGTTGGTCTTTAATCACCTCTTTCTAGTTCCCATTTCCGCTGGCTTCCATTTTTATTAATGGCAAAGAAAAGTAATTGGACTGAGCAGGTTATCCTTTCATTTTCCACAGAAGTTCAGATGGCTTTTTGATGAGAGAACACAAAAAGGAAAATTTGTTTCTGTGGGAAAGGTGTAGGGAATATTTGAAAAGAGATTCTTATGAAGTAAGTTTGGTATAGAGCAGGGCTTCTTTAGTAATCATTGGAAGGTGTTGTTTGGGCAAATTATCTGTTGAATACAAAAGTAGACAGTTCTCAAGCCTCTTTTCCTGAGTCCTGAGCTGCCTATCACTCTCCCTGTTGTTGTATGCTTTTTCCTTTTATCCCCTCCCCATCGTTGGAGTCAGGTAGCAGTTTTCCTGGTCTGTAGTGTTTTAATGGATTTGTCCTAAATAACCCTGCCATAATTAAAAAAATAAATAAAAACACCCAACAGCTATGAAACATACAATTTCTTTTTACCATGTAGTTAGCTTTGCTTTTCTGTTACGCTCCTCCTTTTGTCCTGTGTCTGTTTAGTCTGTTTTGATTTTAGGTTCTGGGGCGTAGGTGGATTACTCTGCTTGCGCAGAGTGCTTGTTACTGTAGGGCACCATTGTTACATGGCCTTTCAATTTTTAGTGTAAGAAATGTGATTGATTGTATCGTTTTCTGCTGGAGCTTTTTGGAGGCCTTTATTAACACTTCTCTGAGAAAAATCTTGTGCTGCTGCACTCGGTTATGCTTATGTTGGTCTCTCACTTTCTTTGAACCTCTTCCCCTTTTTCTTACCTTCCCATTCCTCAAAAAATTATTTAACTGCAGCATGAAATTTATGTTTGGTTCTGTATTAAATGTTGAAGCATGTTTTGCCTTTGGCATTCTTCTGCTGCAATCCACATGCAATATTTAGGGTGCTCCTGGTGAAAATGAGAGATGAGGGTAGCAGAAAAAACCTTCACATTTAATTTGAGATAGTGCTGTTTGGTAATACACTCTAAATGCATGGCCAGGGCACTTTTAACTTTTTGCTGGCCCTCTGTTATATAAATATCTCGAATATAGTTGATTTCTTGCTGACTTCCAAAGGAAAATGGTTCAAAGAACTAGTGTATCCCACTATGCTATCAAGATAACTGAAAAAGCATTACTGTTATTGCTGATGCCAGTCTGTTAGCATGAAAACAAATAAATAAAGGTTACAAGAAAAGATGCTTTATATCGTGATGTACCCCATGCTTTTGTAGAAGGAAAGATATGTCCTTCTTTTACTTTAGTTGGCTCTAAGGGGCATACAAAAGACTTGTCTGTCTATCCAAAAAAGTAAAAAATATAGCTATGGTATTTTCATTATAGGACAATTCGTCTGGCAATGTATCTGAAGGTGATTGCGCCACAGACAACCAGGAGGATTCTTTTCAGGGAAGACAAAAAACAAGAGACAAAAGTGCTACTCCAAGAAAAGATGGTTCCAAACGTTCTGTATTATCCAAATCAGTTCCTGGGTACAAGGTAGAAGAAAAAAGCCCCTGACTGAACATCTTTACTGACCAGCCTCTCCCTGAAATACTTGTATTTCAGTATTATGGAACTTCTGCTTGCTGTACTTCACTAGCTGCTCTCCTGTTGTGTGCTCCATCTGTTTGCTTTCTTACTTCTTTTTGCTTTTATTTCACATGGGCCTCTCCTGTACTCTAGCTATACAGCGGCCTCTGTTTCTGTTAACTTCTCTGATTCCTAGACAGTTACACTAGAAAAATTCATTGTGGACTGGTCATTGGAAATCTACATCTTTCTGTCTGCCTTGACACTGACATGCCAGTCAGAATTACTTGCCAGTTCAAAACTAGCACTTGGTATCCGTTATTTTTTGTACTGTTTAGTACATACCTAGAGATCAGTGCTGTAAAGTGCAGCAGTGTGGCCGAACATGTTATTATAATGTTCATTTTAAATAGTCTTTCATCTTGAGATGTTATGATATATAGGATGAAAGGCAAGAAGCTTGCAACAATTGTACAGGCAACACTACATAACCACTTTAACACTATATGGAAAAGAGCATTTTATGTAGTTCATACTATGTAGAAAAATTTGTAGGCAATATGTTTTTATCTGACACAGTTAGGATGTTAATACAGTTGAGCTATGAAGCAGCGATTGCCAAACCTAAGACCCAAATCATCAGTATTACTGTAGAATAATTAAAAAAAAAAAAAAGAGATGGTAAGAAGATTGCTAAAAATACTTTTCAGAAGAAACAGAAATTGACATGCGTTTTCATTATTGTTTTTCGGCTTAACAAGAAGTGTTTTGAATATAACTTAACACTTCTAAACCATGTTGTCCATTCCTGTTCCACTGAAAGGAATAAGAATTTTCCTTTGACATACAGGAGCAGGAATAGGCCTATAGAGAAGAAAAACATTAACATAAGGTTTATAGAACAAACAGGAGTGCATGTTAAGAGAGGTTATGAAAAAGAAAACTTTTTGTCAGTGGCGAGATCATACATATCAAGAAACTTTTTCAGTAAGTGTGTGTTGTTGATGGTTTGCATTCTGTATTCAAAACTGTTTCTGATCTATAGCCACCAAGTTAACAATAAATAAGCTATAAATTAAGAAGCTAATATATAGAAAGAATTGGACAGCTTTGATAAATTTTCTCTACGTACAGTAACTGTAAAAATTCATAACAGGTGTCAAGCTCCGATTGTGTTTTGTCTTTCATAAACTTAAAAGAAATATGCAAACTATGGAGATTTAGACTGTGGTACCATAAGTTTATTTTTTATATGTAACTGCACAAATTGTTGTAGACTCAGAATGCATACCTATGTTCCCATGAACATGAAATCCTATGATGGCACTTGACATTCTTTTAGCTTTGTTTACCTTGATGTTAGAGATTGTGTGCCACTGGTTTACATAAAGAAGTTTCACTTAACTTTGAGATTTCTGAGTATTTGATTAGTTTAATCTATGCATGGCCTTTTGAATGCATAGAGAAAAGAATTTTAAACAACAGAACTTTAAAAAAAGTTGTATTGGTGGTATACAGCATTGCATTTTGGAAGTGGATTCCCATAGCAATTATGGGTTCAAAATCACTGACTGCATATGTAACAATCTGTTACTGGAAATTCACAGTGCCACATCTTTTCAATGGCAGCTGTATCCTGCCTACATCAGCCCTCAGCCCCTTGATAGGTCAAGGTAGTGATGCTGTGTTGGGATATTGAGAGGACTGGCTTTCTTGTTCATGGGAGTGTTTAAATGCTTTCAGTAAACTCAATTATTTGAGCCGCTTTAGCTGGTAAGACAGAAAGACTTGTTTGTTAGTCAGTTCAAAACACCAGATAATTATATACCACGTGTGCCTGAATGTTAAGGCACTTTGAGCTGAAGGCTTAACTGTTTTAAAATGTTGTCCCTTTGTAATACCTTTGTTCTGTATCGTTCTCTAATATCTGACTATTTTTGTAGGACAGTAAATTTGGTTACTTGTGGTTTAATTGAAGGATAATTGCTATGGCATCAGAATGCAAATGTATAGCTATAGACACATTGTGAGTATTACAGGATTCACACATTTCCATGGAGTTAAATTTTAAGTAAAAGAAATAATGTATTTTGTATGGAGGCATTCTTACTGTCAGTTCTTAAACAAAGAAGGGTTAGAATGTGTTAGATGTTTTGTCACGTTACAAGTAGCAAGTCTCTGCTGCAGCAGGACTGGCTATTGCAATTGCACACACACAGGGTATTGCTGAAAGTAAAGGAGTTTTTTTGTTTGTTTTTTTCTTTCTTTTTTTTTTTTTTTGCACATAAAACTGAAACGTATTGAGAAACTATATTTTACAACACTTCTATTTTGGGTCTATATATATGCAAGTGGAATGCTTTGTGTTCAGAATAAGATCTTACAAAAATGGCATAGTTGGAATGCTGACTTTGAGAGCTGCAGCGCAGCAGCATGGAGATTAAAACTGACAGAGCAATCATCTATTTGACCTGCATTCTTTTCCTCCCCCTTCCTTATCCTGATTAGATGAATATGTACAAAGCAAACTATAATTGATAGGATATTGTGACTTCCCATTTGGATTTGATAAGACTTCCCTCATAGTGTTTCTAAAAGCCATTTATGATAGCAGAACTTGAATTGTTAAAAAATGTGAAATCTTTCATTTTTTTTCCTTTTTTATTAAAAAAAAACAAAAAACAAAAAAAAACAAAAAAAAAAACAACTTCCATACTGTTGGAACTGTATTATTAATAGGCTGTGATTCCCATCCTACCCACCCCCTAAATGCACGATTTCTAATAAACACAGTTTAGTGAAGTAAGTGTAGATGGAAGCAGTTAAAATTAATGCACCTGTATCAGTGTCTGACTTTAGAAATATATAGAGCAGAGTGTTAGTGCACGTACCCTGATGCAAGTACAGTGACCAGAAAGTAGCTCACTTTAGTTTTGACGGAGTACAAGGGAGTATGCTGCTGAATATTAAAGGCAGTGAGATACAAATTTGTAACAAACTAGAAGTCTGATTAGAGAAGTGCACTGGCTATTCTAGAAGGGCTTGTTTTACTTAGAAAATAGATAAAAACACAACCACAATATAAATTAGAACGTAGGCTGAACAACAGAAGGGTAGATGCTGCAACACAGACAAAGTTTAAGCTTGTGCCACTTTTGTTGAGAGGAGCAGGGTATAAAGGTATACATGTAGGACACATAGATTAGTTAACAGTAAGAGATTTTATGTGTGTTTTTGCTTCCATTATATTTATTACTTTGTAGAGACTTTTGTGAATGTTAGACTTCTTTTATTGTTTTATTATATTTATGTATAAAACAGGTTGACTATGCTTTTTTTAAATAAATAAGCAAAAAAAGTCTGTATGAATGCCTCTGTCATCTTTTGTAGGAAGTTACCAGTGAAGAGCTGGTCTGGTGTTTTGTTTTGTTTTTTTTTAAATAAAACTCTTTAGTTTATTTTAGTTATCAGTCAACATCAGAGATAGTAACTGTGTTTTTACTTAAACAGATGGAACACTTCATAAATCTTTAAGCAATGTGTCCTGACTACTTAAATCTGAGTTCAGATTATTCTCATTAACTAGATATAGGAACTAGAATAAAAACTGGCAGGGGCAATAGACGCACTTAACTATAAGTTGCATTACAAAAGATCTTTTTTTTGTTTGTTGTTTTTAAATATATACTTTTTGCTTTTACTTTTTTTTTTTTTTTTAATTAAACTTCATTCTTCTCTCTACAAATGGTTGGTAGTTGACTGGGACTGTTCTTGCTTACTGATGAGCCATTTGGTTCCGCAGAAAATGGGATATGCCTTGAATTCCCTCTAGTTTCTTTTCAAGACTCTGGCAATAGTCATTAAAATCAGTAAGGACTATATTGAAATTCGTGAGAGATTGGGTTTGAAATTATTAAGCGGTGGTCAAAACTCAACAATGTACTGAAATATGTCTGAAATTCATAATGCTTGGGTTGTTCCTTGGACCTCATGAAGATGTTTCTGAAAAATGTAATGCCATGTATCTTCTTTGATCATCATTGGCTTAGAACTCTGTTGGTTTGTCTTTTGGTTTTGGACACAGAATTAATCCACAATTTAACAGGCTCCTATTTCTCTCTTACCCTTTAAATGCATCTCATGCACCCAAATAGGCTCCAGATGTCTTAGAAATATTATAAAACTATAATTAGATACAATGGTGTGTATTTTTTACTGCAGTTACGACTGGACACAAGAAGGAAGGGTAGCAGTATATAATACAGTTAACCAGATACTTTAAAACTAATGATAGAAAAATCTAGTTTATTGCTTTTGTAACTAAATTTCTATATTTAGACAGTCAATGCAAAGGGAAAATTTTATTTACTTTATTCCACATGGGAAATCTGCATGGCCATATAAAGAAGTTTCTATTTGGGGGAAAAAAAAAGACAAAACCCCTGAAATTTTTAATGTTACATCATGTAATTTACATGTAGAGGATTATTAGCTGATGAATTCAGAGGAAGACACTACTACATGCTCTACTCCAGCTGAATTTACACCATGCTCACTACACGTGTGCTAAGTGCAAAATTGTACATAGTTAAGCAAAAATTGGAACATCACCCATTGTCAGTTATTGTCATATGTTCTAAGGTTCACACAGCGGATAAATCATTAATTTTAAGAGTTAAGGAGATACATTTCCTGTTAAATCTGTGAATTCTTCTGGAATGAATTTATAGTCCTCTTCTACCCTTCCAGCCAAAGGTCATTCCAAATGCTATATGTGGAATTTGTCTGAAGGGTAAGGAGTCCAACAAGAAAGGAAAAGCTGAAGCTCTTATACATTGCTCCCAGTGTGACAACAGTGGTAAGTATCTGTATGTGCTAACTGGATTCCTAAGGGAGTATCTCTGACAGATTTTTGGTGGAAATATTTGTACTTGTGTACAGCAGTTCCGTTGCCTGTTCTCTCCTTCATTAAAGCTTCCTATTTAATGTTATATGTACTGACACGTTCAATGCACTATCAGATCTCACCAGGAGGTGAGCTCGGCTTCAGCTTCTGTAAAAGCAGTCTAAATAATTTTACATTTCATTTCAGACGTAGTAATAATATTGGTTTTAATCTAGGCCACCCTTCTTGCCTTGATATGACCCCGGAGCTTGTTGCTATGATTAAGACTTACCCTTGGCAATGTATGGAGTGTAAAACATGCATTATGTGTGGGCAGCCTCACCATGAAGAAGAAATGATGTTCTGTGATGTATGTGACCGTGGTTATCACACTTTTTGTGTGGGGCTTGACGCTATTCCCTCAGGTAATAAGGATTTAATTGTTCTCTTCCCACCTCCTCCGAGTCCTGGGGATTCTGTCGGAATAGATGTGTTGCTTTTGAAAGAAGTTTAAAAGCAGCGTGAAGAATAAGAATGAACAATAGTGTTGGAAAGCATCCAGTAGGGTCCCATTTTTTCATAAGCTTTATTTCTGTATATTTGGTTGTGCACAGTTTAACCTGGCAGTTCCTGACTAGGATATATAATTGGCTTTTACAACAAAATCCAGACCCCCTTGGAGTTATTTTGTTTTAAATATGTATTTCCACAGAATACTGAGAATAATTACCTCTTTTCTTAAAAGAAACCTGTAAAGATGCCTGTATTGCTGCATATTGCTGGAATACAGCTTTCACATTAATAAAATGTGCTATTATTTTAATTTCTAAATTAAAAAGTATGCTTAATATAGTATTTGTAAACACCTTTTTAAACACCTTTCCTTGCCCTTTTTATTCTTAAATGTCAAAGCTGGAAGTGAGGTACCTAAATTCTAGGCAGCTTATACCTTTAAATCACCTGCTCGTTGGTATCTCCTGGTCAACTCAAGGCAGTGTAAAGAAAGCTTCAGAGGCATAACTGGTAGCAGCATTGCTTTTCACATGATATTAAATCCATGCTAAGTTCATGATGAAGTATTCAGTGACAGTGTTCCTTGTAACTACTACCTCAAATATATTATATATTCCCATTTGGGAAAGCACTAGAGCTTGCTCTCACTTCAGTCCAGGTTCTGTGGCTGATTCAACTTTCATTCTGACTTAAGGAGAGAATCTAAGCAAAAAAGATAATATTCCTACAGAACTTTAATATCAGCAAAGCAGCTTTTGTGATTCCAGCTGTTGTAATATAAATAGTTAATATTCCTGCTCTTTGCTGAAGCCGTTACTGTTCCCTCCATTAATGGGTTTAGGTACAAGGTCTGGTGTAGAGCCCCTGCCAGCACTTTAATCTGTGCTGCCCAACTGCACTGAAATAACTCACATTAGTTTGGGAAACAGGCCCTCCTACCTCGTGGCACAATAGCAACATTCTTCAACTGCCATTCTTTTCTGCTGTAACCACCCGTAACCTTGAACTGCGGTCATTCATATGAAATTCCAACTTGTAACCTCATAGTTTGTTATTTCTTTTCTAATAACCACTGTCTTAGCAGCGCTGCCACTTCTTGAGATCTGCAAGCGTTAGAGTAACCAACTGCTATGTGCAGTGAGTCTGCAAGGGATGGTGAACTGTACATTCTGCTTTCTGTACCTTTTAGAAAAGATACTTAATTTATAGAAGAGCTGGTTTTATACATTAAAGGGAGTGCTACAAATTGCTGAGAACCTATAAAAATGGTGAAAGGTGCATAACTAGATGAGTGAATACAAAAAAGGTAGTTTCCCATTAATTGATAACTTTCTTTTCTTAGGTCGCTGGATTTGTGATTGTTGTCAGAAAGACCCTCCCATACCCAGAAGAGGAGGAAGAAGGGGGAAAAACAGCAAGGAAGGCTAAACTCCCCTAAAAAACCTTGCTGTTTCAAAATTTAACTGCACAAATTAAAGTGATACTTTGGTGCTATTTAACCAACCACTTTTAAGAGGAACAATACCACTGCGTTTTTCTTTTTATCAAATAAACTTTTAATTTTGGCTATATAACCATTTTTGTGAGACAAGTCTCTAATCACATCCTGTCAGCTATCTAGACAAAAAAAGTCAAATTCCTGTTCGAAAAGAGAAGGTTTTATATAATGAAATTTAAATGGTACATGCACCATTTGTATAAAATTATAGTACCACACTTATTTATTTCAGTGCATTCATCTGTAAGCTCTGTGAAAAGAAAATTACAGAGCAATTTAAATATATACTATTTGCATAGCAATTAGTTATTTTGAAAGACTCAAGGCAAAAAGTACTCCTGGAAAAGACTTAACTTTGAGGGAAAAAGCGAACACAATTTGACTTTCTTACAATATTCTGAGAATTCCTTTCAGCAAAAATTTTCTTTGCAAACTAATGAATTATTGATATAAATTTACAGGAAAAAAAAAGGGACTGTAAACATTAAAAAAAAAAAAAAAAATCAATCTCAGAAAGCTATAAAGGGGAGATGTAAGAAAATACCTCTCAGGCTTAAGGTACTATATACTGCATTGCTTTTAATGAGGAATGAGAATGTTCTATTGACAAGTAACAACAGGTGAAGGCTTACCCTCCCTACTGTAATACTGAAGTAACAAGCACTTGATTCAGGTCATGGATTTGCAGAGGTGGTGAGTGACTGGACAGGCCTCGGCTTACAGATGACTGATGTACAGCACAAGCAGTCAAATTATAGCCCCTCTATCCCTTATTCAGCTGGTTTTTCCTTTCTTCACCTTACATCCCTCAACTTTGAGTATGCTTCAAAGCCACTGCTTGTCAGTTATACTGAAGGTAACCTGTCAGAAGAGCAGGATTTATTTTTAAATGTGCTCCAAATTGAGGGGGCACAACAGAGCAGCAGTTTGTATTTCACTCTTTATCGAGAAAGCAATGACAGAAAATCATTAAGAGTTAATTTTTTCTAAGCACCTGTTAAGGGATCCCCAACTCTACATTCACATTTAAGCCCTGATCTCTGAAGGATACTGCAAATAGTGCAGTCGCTGCTCGTTTTACTTTTAGGGAAAAAAATTTAATATGGCTTTTTTTCTCCCCACCACTTTCCTTCTGATTTACGAAAAGTAACCCGAATACCTCTTCAGGAAACAATAAAAAGTATTAAATATTATAGAAAGTTACTTGTGTTCAATTTCACAAACTGAAATGTGATTTAGTCCATGATTTATCAATTTAAAAAAGAATTTCAAGTATTAACTTTAAGATTCCAATAAGTATAGTCCAGAAAACAGACTCTTCATCCTGAGATTCATCTTCTGTAGAGTGTGAGTATTTCTGGTTTGCCTCCATCTCCTCTGGATTGTAGGAAGCCTCGCCAAATGGATACTGTACAACTGTTCGATCATAGTAGACTTTCATTTCAAACTCGCTCTCCTGGTGGGAGGGATGACCATAAATTCCTATTCCCACTGGTCGGCGGAAGTGTGCTGGTACATGGACAACGTCTTGGCCACAAGTGACAGACTGTAACTCGTATTCGTCAAAGCTGGGGTGAAGAGTCATATCGGATACATACAAATCTGCATCACCTTTTAAACTCTGCATCTGAAGTACTATCTTTCCCTCATGATTTAGTCTCAAGTAGCTGTAGTTTCCTGCTCCAATCTGGCCTTGAACAACGTGAAGAAGAATCCATTCTTCAGGTACATCCTCTTCCTCAAAGGTATTTACCAAACATAGTACTTGAGCTGCCACAAATACTATCAGGATTCTCCTCCAGCGTACTGCCATGGCTCTTAAGTTTTAGTCTGATTCTTTCTATTGTCAGGTCCAAGTACTCTGCAAATACAAAACGATTTAGAGTTAGTATATTCCATTCCTGGAAGGAATCAGTTTTTGTTCACACAAAATCAAGCAACTTCAATAAAAGCTGGTTATTTACTGAGAAAACACAGTGCACTAAATGATGTGTGGATTATTTCTCTGTCCAAAAGTGACATATTGTCACTGAAGAAGCATGTGTTTTTGTTGCTGTTTGAACGTCAGTTCTTTACAACACTTACCTACACGGCAGCTGAAGCTGCTGGGGCAGGGCAGAGAGGGAAGAGGCTGTTACACAATGAAGGCTCCCGCACCCTTTCCTCTCCCTCGTTGCACGCTGCTGCCCGGGCGGCCTCAGCACATCTCCAGCACAACAGCTGCACTCAATGCACGAGCTCTAAACCTTGCCGAAGACTTCCAAAGAATGCAGCTGACCGAATTTAAATGCCAACCAAGGGTGCTTGGAAGCTTCAGATGACTTCCATCACTTCGTGCCTTCGGCAAGGACTGTACAATTACCTTAAACACGACAGCTACTACTGAATTGTTGGTAACCTGCTAGCATCAAAACAAACTGCATGACTTCCGCTGAGATGTCACGAAAACCACACGGGTTTTACAGCCAACAGACGGAGGAACAACAGCACACCAACTTTTATACAGCTCCCAGCTTACGGTCCCACGGGCCGCAAGGCCCCAATTCCGCAACGACGGCGTACAAGAGAACAGCCCCGCCCTCGTAACCTTCCAAACCGACAAAAACCCTCTGAACAGCGACAGAAAAACAGCCTCCTACCTTTCGTGGCGCAGCTCACCTCCGACCCGTCCCGCGGCTCCGGCTCCGGCGAGGCCGCGGCTCCGCAGACGTGCGGCAGCGCAGGGAGCGCGGAGAGACCCCGCCCCGAGGCGGGCCGGCACACCCCGACGGCAGCGGCTGCACAGAGGCAGCGCGGAGGCCGACCCCTGAGAGCCGCCGGGCCCGGCGCCGCCCCTCTCGCTTCGCCGCTCCCCTGCACGCCTCGAGAGCGGCGCCGGCCGCACCCGGTCCGGACAGCGGCGCGAGGAGCGGGTGTCCCCTCACAGCCCTGCCCCGCAGCCGCCACTCACCGCCGTTGCGGCCGCTACCGCCGCCGCCTCCCCGCCTCTCCCGCGCGCCGCGGCAGGCGGGCCGGGCGGGGCTGCGCGCTGGCCGCAGACCGAGCCCTCTGCTATCGCGAGAGTTGGGCTGCGCGCGGCCGTCACCCCGGCAACCAGCCCCGCCCCGCTGCTCCTGTGTGACTGCACAACGCGGCCGCAGCGGCGCTTGTCCCTCTCGGCGACCCGTCGTTAGCGACGCTGTTGCCATAGTGACCTCCCACGAGCCTCTTCCCCTCGCGGGGCTCGGCGGCGGGGCGGCTTCGTCCCGATCTCCCGCGCAGTCAGCAGGTCGGGACGCACCCTGAGCCGCCGGCGGTGCCCCGTTGTAGGATGGAAAGCGAGGGCGACAGCTGTTCGTGGGGAGGGAGCGAAGATCCTGAGGTCGTCTGCGAAAAACGTCTGTTTAAGTCCGGATTGCCGGAGTGCCTCGTCCAAGTGGCGTGCGGACACCAGCACTGCGCCTTCCCGCTGAATCGGAACGAGCTGTGCGTCTGGAATGCAGCTGGCAGCCCCGCTGCACAGGTAACAACACCTCCCGCTGTACGCTGTAGAAAAAAACATCAAAAGGGAAGGCATGAAGAAAAAATACGGTAATGAAGCGTCAGGTTTCACTTTTATGTGTAGAAGGTGCTAGCGTTTTGAGCATCTTTGAGCTCACATATTGTGAGCTTTGTCGCTGTGATGAGAATAACTCGAGGGCTTTTGGTGGCCTGAGCCTGGCGGCTGCTGAGCCACATGCAGCCAATCGCTCGCTGCCTCCCAGGATGAGTGCGAGGATCCATAGGGCAAGAGTGAGAAAGGCTTGTGTGCTGAGATAGAGACAGCATAATGAGAAAAGGACAGAGGAAGAAAGAAGTGATGCAAAGGTAAGTGCTTCTTGCAAGCACAGTGGTGCCCAGTCACCTTCTGATTAACTCCTTTCATTGCTGTGTTATGAGGACAGGCTGAGAGAGCTGGGGCTCTTCAGCCTAGAAAAGAGAAGGCTCCAGAGGACCTTTTAGCACTTATAGCAGCCTTCCAGTACCTAAAGGAGGCCTACAGGAAAGCTGGGGAGGGACTTCTTAGAAGCGCATGTAGCGATGGGACAAGGGGAAATGGTTTTAAACTGGAAGAGGGTAGATTTAGACTAGATGTTAGGAAGAAATTCTTTACTGGAACAGGTTGCCCAGGGAGGTTGTGGATGCCCCCTCCCTGGAAGCATTCAAGGCCGGGCTGAATGTGGCTTTGAGCAACCTGGTCTAGTGGGAGGTTTCCCTGCCTATAGCAGGGGTTGGAATTAGATGACCTTAAAGGTCCATACCAATCCAAAACATTCTATGATTATATTATTCTATATCAAGTGGTATGGGAAACTCCTTTGGCCAGCTGGAGGCAGCTGCCCAGCTGTATCATCTCCCTGCTTCCTGCCTGCCCCCAACCTACTTGCTGGAAGTTGGCACACCAGAATGGCAAAATGAGAAAGCCTTAACACCACTGGCACTGTTCAGCAATGGTTGAATATTTTTGCATTATCTACATGTGGCCAGATTAGACACAAAACCCAGAACAACACCATACAAGCTGCTACAAGGAAAGTTTACTTCATCCCTGTACAGCTATATTGTAAATTATTAAGTGATTTTGGAACAATGAAAGAAAATGAGTTTGAAACAGTTATTGTTTTGTTAATTTTCAAGCATTATCCATGCAATTTTACATTGTTTGTAGTTTTAATTTGAAGTGACTTATTTTTCCACATACTTCTGTCAGCCATTACGTTTGTTAGGACATCAGCACGCAATTTCTGCACTGTCTTTTGGAAGTAAAATCAATCCACTTCTCGTCTGCTCAGCTTCCTGTGAGCGTGTGATAGTGTGGAATCTTGATGAATGCACAACAAAACTGCGAGAAGGTAGAGTATTATTTACATAACATATATATTAGATATATATGCAATAGAAGGCAATCATTCACCGCCACCTGCGAGCCCAGCAGTGCCGAACCAGTGTCTCAATAATGACCACCTTAGCAAACGACCCTCCAACACCTTCTTCCACTACTACTTTTATAATAGGCTGTTATTTCTGAGTAGAACGCGTTAACCTCTCAGATTCAACGATAGTAAAAGTGACAGCGCTTTATTTCCTGGTTGCCCTCCCCCGGTGATACCAAGCCGAAACACAGCCCGACCTCCTTACCGCACCCGATTAACACTGCTGGGCTGGCATGGCAGGGAGCTGGCCATGGTGCTGACCCGCAGCTGGGGCTGGGCTGGGCTCAATGGCGGCTGTTGGCAGTTTAAATGGACTGAAATGTATAGGAAGAATGAAAGAGAGCAAGTCATGGCTCACTAGTGCCCCAGTGACACTCTGTCCTAAAAATATTGTTATAGCGTTATGATTTAGAGGCTTTATGACCCATGAATATGTAGATGTGCAAATCTACATATTATTAAAAACAAACAAACAAAACACTCTTAACGAAATGAGAATGTTTTAAATACTTTTATAATGAACATTATCATTACACTTTAATCCATGTAAGTGTAACATAGAGTTTCAGGGAATGATTCAAGGAGTGGGCATGAAAATGGACTAAAAATTCAAGGGAAACAAACATAGAAATTAATTAGAGTCACTTAGTGGAAGATCAGTAGAAAGATTGTGTATATTTAATATAAAGACATTTGAAAGCCAGATTCACTGCTGCTAGATTTCCTTCTGCACCTTTCTGTCTCTGTCCACAGGCTCTTCAGCAGATGCTGTGTAGACTCTTTCTGCCCAGACTGCTCTCTGCACAGTCTTGGACAATTTTTTTCACGTTATTTTTATCAAATGTCAGGAACTTGAGTTCTTTGTGTGATTCATTTCTCCATGCTGATAAACCTTGACACATTAATCTGTTAAAGAAAGACTCCTCAGTGTCTAGAGTAAAACCTAGAAAAAGACATCTGTAGCTGCTGTGGCTGTGTTCTGGTTAGTTTGCAGCCTGTGGAATCCTAAGACTTGATAAGATGTCCAAAATCTGTACACACTCTTGAAGGCAGCATCATAAAATGTGGATCTGCAGAACCACTGAGATGAACATAATGATGTGGTGATAAGAGGGATAAAAAATGCCTGTTCTCAAAGCCAGTCTTATCATCCTACTATGGAATGATTTCTAGTGGTGTACTCCCCATTCAGCCTTTTCCCAGAGAAGAATTGAAACCAGGAGAAGGAAAGTCCCCCTTGCTTAGTAGCTGAGTGGCTGAAATATTCATCTGGAAGAAACATTTTTCAAACCTCTGTTCTGCTGGGTTTGAATCAGGATTTCCTGTCTCTAAAATGAACAAGGCAATACTAGGTTCTCTAGACATGCCATTCTGCTACAAAAATTCTATCCTTGACATTTGATATGCATGTGTACTAGTGTTGCAAAGAGTACCAGATATGGTCTAGGCAAGAAGGTAGATGGAGCAATCTTACTGGTATATAGTTCTGTGCTTTGCTTTTCAATAATCTAGTCTAATTGGAGTAGATGATTTTCCAACCCATACTATTATATATTATTAAATGGTGGGTTACTCTGTATATTTTCCTGACAAATACTGGTATTAACTGTGTTCTTAGATAGCTGCTATGTTTCTGAGAATCTTGCTGCATCAGAGTTCTAGATTTTGCTAAATCTCAATAATAATAAAATTGCTGCAGGGTTACTACCGCAAGGAATTATTATTGGAACTCTTCTGAGATTGGTTCTTTATGTAAGATTTAGTCCAGATGATCAACAAGTGGCGGTATGTGCTGGAAATCGAATCTACATGTTAAGCACAAAGGTGAGATACCATTCTTTGTAGCCATAGTGCTGTTGTTTCTTAAAGTTCATCACTTTCAATAAAATCATGATGTGGTAATGTATGCATTCATATTCTTGTTTAGAAGAAAACAAATACAATGCTCAATAGCATTATCAGTGATATGTCATAAAAATGATGACAAAGTAAAGTGTTGAAGTTAAACAATATCTCAACATTCTGAAAACATCTGAAAAATTACTCCTTCGTCACTCACTTTGAAAAAACAAATGCAACATGTAGTATTTTCTGCCAGCAGAATGATATACGGGGCTATATTTGGCTTAAGAAAAATCTTGTTGAATTGCAATTTGAACCTAAGTCTGATATTATTTTTTGCAATAATTCTTAGTTATTAAGACATTGAATTAATTGCCAGTTTTGTTTTGAAATCTGTTTTGCTTTTATTTTGACTTTCCTATTCATAGAACGAATCTATACTAGTTAAATTGAATGGCCACCTGGCTCCAGTGACTGCTGCTGAGTTTTGCACATGGGAGAAAAATATGCTTATATCAGTGTCTGAAGACAGAAGCTTCAAGGCAAGGAAATTCTTGAGCTGCATTAAAAAAAAATAATAGAATTTAGTGAATTTTTGAATTAACGTTGTCTTTTTTTTTTCCTAAAAATATTTGCTGAAAGCTAAGCAAAAGTCATCTTTGACATTACAGAGACCAAGATAGTGTTTTTAAGAATTGCTTGCAAAGTTATCATAAAAATTAATTTTTTTTTTTTTTTTTTAAATGACATTGAAGGTTTTTCATTGTTAAAACAGTATAGTGAAGTATTAACTTCGGTGATTTTTATTATCTGGCAAATAAACTCTGGCACTTATTGATTAAACAGAGCCCGACACGATAAAGAGGCAAACAAATAAATAAACCCTTTGGAAACGACCTTACTATATTGCATTGCTTTCAGTGGCTGCATTTCCTCGTTTTCACCACTTGATGGCCTTTAAAAGTTTGTTTTTTCCTTAAAGATCTAAGTAGGTGCCTGTCTTATTTTGTTTTTCCCTATAGGTATGGGACTATTCTACTGGACTGTTAATGTATCAGTCAGGGATATTAACAGGTTATTTTTCCTTTTTTATATACTTTTGCATAGCAGAATGTATTGATCTGAACAATAAAATAAAATAAAATCAGTGTGTAGGTGTTTAATTGATCTAGTAAAAATATTTCTAG